TATATATACTATATATATATATATATATATATATATATATATATATATATATATATATATATATATATATATATATATATATACATATCTAGGGTATATATTACAGCCTTCGCATTCTTTGGAGAAGTGAAAGCCAGCGGTTTCAGGGAAATTGTCACTATTCCCATTTTTATATCACTGTGATAATTTTCATTACTCACTCTTGTCCGACGATAAATGATCGTTTAGCGCCCTGCTGATTCGGGACCAGACGAAATCGTTATCCGTGTCGATCGGCGTTGCGATCTGTGAAAAGGGAAAGTTCGCCAAGTCGCACGAACGAGGTTCGTTTGGGATCCGTGTCCTATTTTAAAATATCGTCCGATTCATGATTTTTGACGATCTTTTTTTTTCGCGATCTGTTTTCTTCCAACTTCTTTGTTCGCATTTCGTATGAGATCCGATCCGGGTCTTTGAAAAACTTCTATTAAAAAAATTAGCCCAACGTTATGCCGATTAATCGAATTTCTAGGTTAGGTTAGGTTACGAAAGACTTGCAACAGATTTTATTGAAATTTTCTTATTTTTATGAATCACGGTATCATCTCGCACTGAGAAGTTTCCCATGATTCACCGTAAGGTATCGCAAGGACGATCGAATTCTGTTGGGAATCTGAACGGTCATTTCCTTTGCGACATCGTACATTCAAACTGGAAATGAAATTTGCTCTTTCACTCGCGGTCAGAAATTATCCTTGAGTCGAGGGATTTAGCGGCATGAGCTTTCATAGTAAAACCTTAATTTATAGGGAAACCAGAAATAATTGACGAGCATATAACATGTGGAAAGTGATCGTAAAACGTGACGCTCTACCGTAATAATTTTTGGGATTGTCATTATTATTATATTCAAAAATGATGAAACCGATACTTAAGAAATGCCAATATGAATATTATTATTATTTTTAATTTTGCACAGCACAAACATACCTATACGATCTCCCCACCGATTCTTTTCTTTCTCTCCGTTGGTAACCCTGGACGTGTATTATGAAAGAGTTATATAAAGCCACGGCTGGGTGTCTATAATTGAAGAGTGAAAATAAGAAAGGAATTTTCGTTCCGCGGCAACGATTATGCCTTGGAATAGCTAGGGATAAATTAAAACGAGAAAAAAAAAACTAACCAAGTATCAACATTCTATCGCAATGTAATCTCGCGCATAAGTATTTACCTGAAATGTTTGTATTTTACGACAATTTCCATGATATTCCTCGATAACGATAAACCAGACCATAAATCCACCCCACACGTGTAACAAAACTTCTCGATCCTCTTATCCGCAGAAACTCAAGAAAAAATGTTGCTACATTCGTTATATCACGTAGTACGTACGCATTATACAAATGGAGTACACGAAGTGCAGTATATCCTTTCTCTTCCCTCTCTACACTCGATTTCTCGTAACTCCCAGTGACAACACGGCCGTCGAGCTATCAGCAGTGGATAGAGGAAAGGCGCCGGGTTACATACGGTACAAGTGTGAAGATTCGAAGTTGGTGAAACTCTGGCGATTAAAAAAAAAACATACAAAAATGTTTCACGAGTGACGTCACGGAAGGGATAGCCAATATCAAAAAAATATACAGACTCGGTCGTTTGATCGCAACCGAAAAAAAAAACGGTCAGAATAAAAAGTTTGTTAAATCCTAATGGAGCTATAACAGTGAACGATCTATAATTAAGAGTGTTGAAACTCGAGGTGCCCGAAGAAAGTGAATCTGCCGTAACGTGCCTGTACGTACCAACGTAAGAGATACCTCGATATATATATATATAGTATAGATATATCATAAAGGAGAATATACACCAACCAGAGCAAAGTGTCAGATGCAGTCTTATGCCTTTGGCAAGTTATGGCAAATGGCTATAACTATACAGTTAGTCAACTGTATAGTTGATGCATCCGGACGATAAGTTATTTACCTAGAAAATCACGTTGGCCGACCTGGACCACGTATCGGCCGGGTACATAAACCTGGAGCAACGAGTCGAGTCTCTTATAAATGACTGTACGTAAGAACGTGGCATGTGTGGCATATATGGAAGAGAAGGCGCCCGGTATTTTTTTTCTTTACTCGAGAGCTTCGGATGGTTGAACTTTTAATACGAAAGGGAAATTCTTGTCGGGCCTGTTGGGGTCCGTGCATAGAGCCAAGGCCGTTGAAGGTCACCAGAGTTCAACTTTTTTTCTTCTCTTTGGCCCTCCTTCTCTTACTCATACTATATATATACATCTCTCCCACATCTTCTTCCGTCCTCTTTTACCTTTTACTTCTACTTGGTCTCCTCCTGCTGCACAATCATCCTTCTTTCTCCTCCTCATCCTCCTCCTTGGCTACCATCTCTCGAACCTTCTTGTTCCCTAGTCCAGGTGAACCCGAGGCACTCTGCTTCTCTTCGACTATATATATACAGGGTGTCCCAAAATTACCTGACCAACGGGGTATGGCGATGTTCGGGAGGCACCACTGATCACCAAAATGACCTTGCTTTTGTCCGGAAGTTCATAGTTTTTATATGGGAGCAGGTCAAAGTTGACCAATCAGAACGAGGCGTCAAGAGAAACGTAGGCACCTACGAACTCTGAGTTTTCTTCCCTCGCTTTTGTTTCTCGGTAGCTTGTTTCTTGTTTCCCATAGGCATGTCTTCGGCTGACGTCATCCTGCCCAAAGCCACCGAGAAACAAAAGCGAGGGAAGAAAACTCAGAGTTCGTAGGTGCCTACGTTTCTCTTGACGCCTCGTTCTGATTGGTCAACTTTGACCTGCTCCCATATAAAAACTATGAACTTCCGGACAAAAGCAAGGTCATTTTGGTGATCAGTGGTGCCTCCCGAACATCGCCATACCCCGTTGGTCAGGTAATTTTGGGACACCCTGTATATATGTATATATAATTATATATATACCTCAAACTTTCTGCCCGTATGTATCATACGTGCACGCAGTTATATATACTCGGGATAAATTGATCCATGCCAGTAGCCATATACGCGAACAGTCGCACGCATGTGATGCAGCTGCGCTCTGGTACGGGCGTGCGTGTACGATCTCGGATGAAAGATTTGGCTTAATTTTGTGAACGTAAAAAAATAAGGAGCGAGAGGGAGAAAAGGGCCAGGGAACGAAAATTAGAGAGAAAAACAACGAGGCGTTATACTCCGGTGCTATTTATAGAAACTGGACGAGCCCGTATACACGCACGGCCGTAAACCGTTTATGCTAATAAGGATGCGCCAAGATAATTCATTCTTGTCCGACCATCCTGCTGAGAATTCAACCATTTGACTTGCACCACCTTCTGCCAACACTTTACACTTTACCCTAACCCCAAAAGTGTGAACACGTCCACCCGCGGGCATCCATCTTACAGTTCATAAATCCTAGGAACCACTAAATAAATCCTTTATTTTTGTATTCCAAGACGAATTCAATTAACCAGGCCCGGTTCTTTTTTTTTATCAAAAACAACCAACGAATTCTTTTTACGCTTTGGAGGGACGTGCTTGTCTTGGGTTGTAAAATAAAAAAATAAAAAAAAGTCCATATGCATCCACTCTGTTTTTCTATATTTTTCCACTCACTTTTATATACACGGATCGCAGGCGGTATCGTACGTAGTTTTAAATCTTAATGAAAAAAGTGCAATTTTTTTTTCCTTAAAAAAAATTACCTCATTCTTTATGGATTTTCTACTGGAAAGGACATTCCTGCCTGACGGTCGGTACTTCTTTTTTTTTTACAACTGTTTTTCGCCATTCTTGACCGTCGCTACAAAATCGATCGGGACGCGACAATTTTGCATGGTTATGGGGTTATTATGCTAAGGACCATTGCGCGCTATGCCCGGTGTATAATAATGTTGGTTTTATTCAGTAGAGTCATTGAAGCCGGTGACTTCGTAATAAAAGGCTCTGGCTTTAGGCCACGGCCTTGAACAGTTTACTTGCAACGATCAAATGTTATGAGTTCGCTTAGCGAGGAACCGGTCCTACGATCCTTCTCTGGGATAACAAAATGGCTCGTGTGACAAGCTACGTCGCTTAGTTACATTAGGTTCTTAGCTCCACTACGTACAGTTCACATAAATGGTATACACGGTACACGTTGCATTTATATACAGCGGCAAGAATTAATTAACTATCAAACTTCCGGAATAGGATCCACCTCAGACGATCTGAACTTGCTTCCTTTTCACAATATGTCGATCGGATTCCCCGCTGTAAGGGAACACGCTCCT